TCTTATTTCCTTCAGAATTTTTATCGAAGCTAGAATAGGTCAATAATAAAATTCTCTGACTGCGACAATGTATAATGTAGTTTTGAAGTCCATAGATCTTAGATCAGTTGTTTTAAGATCACAAAGTGAACTTAGTGACCAAAATTATCGATCTATGAAACAATGAGTACAGAAGTAGGACAAGAGGTAGCATCATCAAATTATACGGTCTTCTCTGTAGTACGGAATGAATACTTCAGTATGATCAGTCAGTGTGTCTACTCTGATAATATCAAATATACTTTTCTCATATATATTGAATGATTTCTCTATACTCGGTGACCAATATTTGTCATGCTTTTCGTTCTAATATTGACGAATATATGTATATAATGGATAATAATAATAATAAATGTATGAATGAATGAGAATTTATAGACGTTTACTTATTCAGATGTATGAAATATGAATTTATCTATAAATCATGGATCGAATGAAATTAAATATTAACACCATTAGATATCGATTCAATAGTCTAGAGGTTAAGTATTTGCAGGCGGGACAGAAAGTTCTCAGTCGAGTTCTATATGTAGGATCGTAGATGCGCAGTGTTGTAGAGTTCTATACTTGAACAAAACGGCCATCTAGTGATTCCAGGTTTTCAATGATGGTCTAGCTTACATGGAATCATGAATTCAACTATTAATGAGTTAATATTTTAGAAAGTTGAAATCTCGTATAACAAATCATTTGCATATATTATTATTATTAATATTATTACTATTTAATCTGTTGAATAAATGAACCTGTAAATAATTTCTAATAAAGATCTACAATGCATAATGTTGGGAACGTTAGATCCCCAGAACTCACTTGGAAAAGGACCTAATTTTGTAATTTTATTTAGATAATTTGAGTTTTTTTTTTTCGCGCCAAAGACGCTCTTGTCACCTTCATGTAGTATTTCCCACTGGGAAGTATCTTAAATGCTATTGGTCCGTTGCGTCTTTTAGTATACTATTTGTTAACTCTCCGCAAGGACGGTTTTGTATTGTATATATACGTTTTGAATTGTGTTTGTGGATCGCTGTGTGCTCGCTCTATTCTGGCTGTTTGCAGAATATAATTCCCCATTACAAGCTTGGACTTCTCCCTCTAATTAGCGGGGCTGGAACGCATCAAATAGCTAGCTTATTGGTCTTTGGTCACTGATTCTTTGATCTCGTTCGCAGATCAAATGAACTCGTGATAGCTTCAACTGTTGCATATAAGCTGATAAATAGGTAAGTGAATAAGTTAAGTAGGTGTGTGAAAATCTGATTAATTATTTATTTATTACTTATTAAATGTAGTTAAACAGAATTATTCACTTTAAATCATAAATGTAACCTCTCATTTTTTTTAAAATAATCAAATGTATATTACTATTTGAATGAAAGTTTAATATTCACATATCATCATAGTTTCAATGTTCTCACGGATTCATTTAAACAAATTATTAATAATAATAATAATAATAATAATAAATGAACAATTCATTGATTGACAGGTAAAATTAATTGTAAGCTCATAGTAACACTTCCGTACATTTCAATCTAGAATAAATTGATCATATGATGAGAGGAATGTTTTTTTTTCTTCTTCTGTTTTTCAAAATATTCAATGAAATTTATTAATATTTAAATAAACAGTAGTGAAATTTCATCAACTGAGATGGCTGGGACATGTGTTACGTATGCCCAACTTCCGACTGCCTCCAACGTGCGATGTTTTATGGTGTATGAGTAGGTTAGAAGAAAGCTCGAGGCGATCAGACCAGAACATGGCACAAGTCCATGAAGTCATTGATAAGTGGACTGAGCCATGTTGGTAGGTGTAGACTACCTGGTTGGGATCCACAAGACAAAAGCAATGAATAGTTAAAGACCTTGAATGTGACATGGCTCGAAATTGTTTGCAATGGTGCAGATGAATCCACTCTTTGTGTTCTCCCAAATTCTAATCTTCTGAATTCTTCATATCCCTTTCTTTTTTTCTCTTTCCAAATTTATTCCACTGGATTACACTACTTGAATAACATCTTCAAACCCTAATGTTTCCGATTACTGCTTATATTCTTACTACCTCTACCACTACGGAATTTGAATCGACAACTGCATCTCCATGCTAATGTTTTATGGCAACTCGAACTGATGTACGTACGTACGAAGTTCTACGTTGTTACTGGCTGACTGACTGAGATAAGCGTTAATTGTTGTCACTATTAATGTTAAGGGATAATTTTAACTGTTGCAGTTTCATTCTATAATCTGTTGTTGGTTGGTTAGGAGGAAACTAGATTGAATGTTTTAATATTTGTTCATAATTCTATTTAATCAATTTGGTCGTTTTCAGTGTCAATTTATGTATGTATCTATATATATAAAGAAGATTAATAAGCCTTATAGTTGACATTCGATAGAAAATCATTGAAAATAAGGAAACACCGGTTATTGGTTTCGTCCATGTGTTAGACTCTCCAGCAGTGTGAATTTATGTTCATACACGAGAATTGAATACAAGAACTCTAGGTCTTGAGACATTTACCCATTATCCTCGGTAGAAATGTGGGAATGCACTGCAGACATGTTTCATGATAGCACGAAATATGTCTAGTGTATTTTGACTTTCAACGGTATCCTAACTGAAATCAATCTATGATAAACATAGAATTCACAAATTAAATCAATCTCTACAAAACCCCTTCCAATTAATTATCAATATTATAAATAAACATAGAAATTACGTGTATTGTCAGCTAATTTTCACACATCTGACTTAATTTCCTTTTTCTTTCTCTCCCCTCCCCAGATTCCCAAATCTCAATTTAGTTGCCATTGCACCAAAGAAAAAAGACAATTTAATGATGATTGAACAGTTTTGAGATAGGAATTTTGAAGTGAAATGAAACTTTCAATCATTTATTGACATATACATATAAAAAAAAGATGGTGGTGGGGAATTTTTCTTAAGTAAAACGGATGGTAACGGGAAAATCGGGATAAATCACAAGTATATCATAATAGTAATGATAACCTGTTCATGAAATCGGACAAGGATTATTGATTTATTGAAGAATTAATTGAAGTTGGAAAATGTAACCAAACAAATTTTGACTAAACGTTTAAATGTTTCATAGGTACAACAAGACTTAACTGTTTTACATTCAAATCAATTGACCGATCGTTGAGTAGTGATCAATGTCATGTTTGTCTAGTTCAGGATATTGACGATTGAGTCCTATCGATCAAGTTGTAGCGTAATCACTAAACTAAGTGATTAAAAAAAACACATGAACTTTGTTGAAATGTTATATAACTGGAAGTAGTCGGCAGGAAATCAGTGCATTGACCCAGGTTTTTTTTGCTGACATACCTACAATGTTGAAGGAACTAACACTTTATTTTAGAATCAAACCAGAATCACACAACTGTCAATGGTTACTATCTAGTATGAAACGTAGTCTAACCTATGATTTCCTAATAACCATTTTCAACTACATAGCACTAAAATATGGTCAGTATATTATAGAGTCACATAGACCAGTGGTCATATTGCAACTGGACGGATAGAATTCGTTCAGCGTTCAATGACTAGATGAATATAACAGTAGTCGCTACTCAATCATGAATTAACGATAATATATTTCTACACATTGAAATAATTATTAACTTGTCAATCATTTCCATTTGTGTTGATTTATTGGTAATGGACTTGATGTATAGTGTTGAGAGTCACTGACCGTAAAAATCAACAAGCGTAACAAAATAATACGAATTCATTACTTTCATCAATTCTCTTCATTTACTAGTTACTAATATTAAACAATAATGTTAATCATTTGAAATCCATATACAGACTACATTGAATCATATTAAAATGGAAATTAGTAGAACAACAACAGTTATGGAAGAATTTTTTTATGGTTTACGTAAATATATGCCAATTAGATACATAGAAACACGTTTCTAGGAAATAGAAATTGGCGTCAAATCACATCATAACAACCGTAAAACTGGATAGAAGGACAAAGGGAAATGAATCAAGCCACAAAAAATGACACAGGAATTTTAAAAAAAAAGAATTAAGAACTTAAAATGGAGAAGATGAAATAAGATGAAAAATCCAAATAACCAGAATAGAACGATATTTGCAATGGTATCTTATTAGATGAATAGATTCAATGGAGAGTATTTAATAGAAATTATTTTGATGAAACTTAATGAGTACTTTTGTTAGCTGGACATAGACTGAATTAGAACATACTCAATGCACGATTGCTTTGGTGCACGCTGATTGGCTAATTCTTATCCAACCAGCACTAGTCGATACCCCCAAATGCCCTGGTACGGCCGAGGGTGGGGAGAGTCCGCTCTCCCTCTCGAAATGTTCTCACATGGTCACGCGTATATAGCCTCTGCCAGGGAATTCCTATTCACTGCCTTCTCGTGGCATTACTGTTGTTTACGAAAATGAGAGGACGAAAAGCGAATGTCCGGCGCTTTAACCGGATCCCAAACCAATGGTGCACATGGGCTCCAGTATCCTGAGGGAACAAATGGCGTATGAACCAATTACTGGTCACCGGCTTCCATGGGACTGTATCTCCTTACGATGCTCCACTGCCTTTTGGATCAGACCCTTAGGTCGAAGGCTCGGGGTGTGGCACCCTAAGATAACCATCTGCTTCGGTTTGGGCATCCCGGCAGTATCACAGCCCTCACACATATCAAATGAGATTTGTGTGGCGCATATGTATTTGGTGCCTCTCTGTACCAATATCTGTGTGTTGAAATAAATAAATAAAAAAGCACTAGTCGATAGTTGGAAAATACTCTAGAACCTTCTCATGTACTAACGTTTTCCCTACTGGGCTTCTTACTTCCATCTAACCTTGTTGTTTAGAATATAATCTCTTTCCTGTTCAACCGTGTTCTGATTTGGGGATTTGTCCAGTGAATCGGTGTCCGAGAATACTAAGCAATAGGAATAGCTTGGTCATAACTGTAAGAAAGAGATTATGACAAATTTGAAAATAAAAAAAATATTAATATCATATCAACTATAGAGTAAGTAATGGAAAACATTTTGGTCTCTAAATCTCAATTGTTGCGTAATAATTCTCATGATATATATAAAGCCCTGGTTTCTGTTTTTTCAATGTAAGTGCTTATGGTAAATGAATATGAAGATGGCATGAAGTCAAGACTGAAGGCCATGGATTCGAATCGCGCGGGGTGAGGGATCGTGGATGCGCACTGCTGAGTCCCATACTAGGACGAAACGGCCGTCCAATGCTTCCAGGTTTTCCATGGTGGTCTCGCTTCAACTGATTCAGGATTTCAATCTGTGATAAGGAAATAAATCACAAATTATAAATAATCAATAAAAAGCAATGATGGGTAGTAGCTAGCAGTGGAATCCAGGACGCGCGTTTCGTCCTATTTGAAACTCGTCAGCTGGATGTACCTGCATCTCAGAGAGTTGATGTTCACTCTGGGACTCGAAAAAATAAAAAGGTTTAATTTATCCAATTCGAGTTAAATAATTGATTAATGAAATATCAATTTGTATATATGAATTGAGCTATTCACCAGGAAATGGACTCATCAAACTTTAAAGAATTCACTTGTGAGACAAAAGGCCCTGGGTTCGAATTCCGCGGGCGGCATTGTGGATGAGCACTGTTGAGAAGTCACACAATAGGACGAAATGGCCGTAAAGTGCTTCCAGCTTTTCAATAGTGATCTAACATCAATCAGTTCATGATCTCATTTAAAAAACTTTATAATCTCCACAACCCTATAGTGGTGATTAAACAAAGTAATAATAATGAATTTTGATGTGTGGGAGAGACATGTAGATAGTCTAACAGGTGTCAGATCAGTTAAATATTCCCTTATCCTTATTATTATTATTATTACTCATTTATTATTGATTGTACATTGTTGTTGGATTGTGTCGGGTTCTGGTGTGGAAATATATTTACGTTGTGGTCAGTCTAATCACGTGTTCTTGATCTGAGTTGTGTTGAAGTCGTGTAGAATAGACACTGGGAAGGAATCTAGCGTAAATATTTGTTTAAGGTAAATTAACGCCCCATACGTGTAAACGTGGAAACCCAACCGTTATAACATAAGACGAGGTAAAACCGAGTGTCATAACAAATTTATTTATTTCATGAATTGTTTTCACCAGTTTCTAGGCTATCGTTTCTGTTGATTAAACTAAAAAAATTGATTCAATTAGAACATCATTCATTTATGTATTAAAGTTCAGAAAAGAAGATTGAATCATAAATGACAGTGATTGAAAACTGTATTCAAGATAATGTATATCCATAAAATCTCATTAATGAGTTTAAGAAAACAATTACTAATTGAATGAAATATGTTACGGCTGAGAGAAAAGAAAACCCAATCTTTGTACCATTTAATAGACATGATTAATTTCATATTTAATACTGTTAAATGTATTTTATTTTCAGTTTAGTGGTTGTGGAGATTGTTTAACTTTTGATTGAAATCATGAACCGGTTGATGTTAGACCACTATTGAAAACCTGGAAGCACTTTACGGCCATTTCGTCCTATTGTGTGACTTCTCAACAGTGCTCATCCACGATCCCGCACGCGGAATTCGAACCCAGGGCCTTTGGTCTCACACGTGAATTCTTTAAAGTTTGATGAGTCCATTTCCTGGTGAATAGCTCAATTCATATATACAAATTGATATTTCATTAATCAATTATTTAACTCGAATTGGATAAATTAAACCTTTTTATTTTTTCGAGTCCCAGAGTGAACATCAACTCTCTGAGATGCAGGTACATCCAGCTGACGAGTTTCAAATAGGACGAAACGCGCGTCCTGGATTCCACTGCTAGCTACTACCCATCATTGCTTTTTATTGATTATTTATAATTTGTGATTTATTTCCTTATCACAGATTGAAATCCTGAATCAGTTGAAGCGAGACCACCATGGAAAACCTGGAAGCATTGGACGGCCGTTTCGTCCTAGTATGGGACTCAGCAGTGCGCATCCACGATCCCACACCTACTGGCTTCGCACGCGAGCACTTAACCATTAGACTACTGAGCCATCATCCACTGGTGTTAATGTCTAGCTCCAACCAATCCACGAAGTTGCGCCACGGTATACCATTGTCTTCAGTGAACTGATATCTCACAACAGACCTGGCTGAACTCCACTGCTGAAGAGTCCCATACTAAGACGAAACGGCCGTCCAATGCTTCCAGGTTTTCCATGATGATCTAGTTTCAATTGACTCATGATTTCAATCTGTGAAAATTTCTAAAAATCTCCACAAACCCCTTTTGATATTTCCTTAAATCATTCAAATTATTGATATTAATAATAATTGAATGGAATAAATATTAATTTTTGTTTGTTTTATTGTACAGTCAAGGTCAATTGAATTTTTTTAAAAAAAAGTATAGAATAGAATACAGATATGTAATTGACTTACATTGAATCAAACAATTAAACCTAATTGAATCCTTCTAGTATCGTATATATATATCATTAACATTTCTATCCATTATATATTCGTGTATGTACATTCCCTAAGGTCAAATAATTTTCTTATATATAAAATCTATTTTTGATAGTAAATAGTTAATAATGTAAAAATATTTTTTAAGAAAGAACAAAAAAAAATTTTAAAGAAGATTAATAACGAAGAAAACAAGAGAGGAAAAAGTTTATTTTCTTCTCTTTCTTTTTTGTTATCTCATAAATGACCTTGAATGGATTGATAAAGTTGAGATGATTATTTATTGATTATCAGGAATTGATTTAATGAATATTCACAAGAATAAAACTATGATTATTATTCTAGTTCTATTTTTTTTTAAATTAAAGAGATAAGATAATTAAGATTCAGAATGGGTTTTTGTGGAGAGTTTAAGAATTTTCACAAGTTGAAATCATGAGTCAGTTGAAGCTAGACCACCATTGAAAACCTGGAAACACTGGACTGTTGTGAGATAACAACTCACTGAAGACAATGGTGTACGGTAGCGCAACTTCTTGGATTGGTTGAAGTTAGACATTAATACCGTTGGTCTAATGGTTAAGTGCTCGCGCGCGAAGCCAGTAGATCCTGGGTTCGAGCCCCGGGTGGTGCAGGGTCGTGGATGCGCACTGCTGAGGAGTCCCATACTAGGACGAAACGGCCGTCCAGTGCTTCCAGGTTTTCAATGGTGGTCTAGCTTCAACTGACTCATGATTTCAACTTGTGATAATTAAGATTCTTTATTTAATTAGTTCGTTCATTTATTTCTGTAACATGATCAGTAATATAATCAATAATTCGATAAAAAAAATCTATCCATAAAATTCATTGTATGAGCATTAGGTTAAACGATCTAAAAATTTGAATCAAAATCATTCAACATTACAGATATTGTGGTGTGTGTGCTACTTATATTGATATAAGTAGTAATATGATGTTAGTCGTGAACAGAAAGTCTGGTAGCAGAGAGACATGAGGATCGAACAGTAAAGAATCGAAATAGAATGCAATTTGTATGAAAATGCAAGAATAATGAAATCTAAGTCATTATGAGACAATTGATCGACATTTTGTAAATTAAGCATTTACTTTATGATTGTTAGATTTCATTAATAAGTCCTGTAATTTTGTGTTAAATACATTCGATTATTCCCCACTGGTGTTCTTGTTCACTACAGATATTAGTAATATTATTAAAGTTTTAATTTAGATGGTGGTTGGAGGTAGTCCTGTTGACTACCTCCAACCACCATCTAAATCTCAATACATAGTGCCCGCAGTGTCGAGTCACCTAGACTGGTGGCCACATTGCAACATGATCGATAGTATTCGATCTGCACTAATAAGGACTAGACAAACAAGACATTGATCACCACCCAGTGATCAATCAATTGTAATTAAAGTTTTAATATTAGCAAATAGAGATCTTAATTGAATCAATAGTTCTCTGATATTTTTTTAAAATAAGACTGGGAGAAAAAAAAAGAAATATCTTGAACAATTTACCATTATTTATAGTAGTGTTGAAGTTCTCAAAATCGAACTTTTTAGTCATAGACATTCGTATGATATGAACAAGTTAATCAGATTTAAGATAACATATTTTGGGATTTTAAACGTGAAATTCATTTACCTATTTGTTGAAATAACACTTTTCATTTGATGATGCTTAAAAGCATCAATCTAATTCATAACCTTTTAGCTATCAACTGTTAAATCATAATTTTAATTCCTTACACTGATTTATAATCCTTATTTATTAATTCTAGTTAATAAATAAACATTCTCAAGGTCACTTATGTATCGTTTAGAGATTACTGATAAATTATAAACGTCAGTCTTTATTAATTAATTATTGATTTTATAGAATTATTTAAATATGTAGCATTTGATTTCCTTAATATCAATCAATTAATTCTCCAATATATATATATATAGACACACGCATACACACACATATAAATCCATTAAAATGAACCAATCAAATTCAAGTTCGTATTAACACAATTTAAGTAGGAAATCGATTTATTTATTAGTCAGACTGGTAATTCAGGTGTATATAGATAACTAATTTGTTTATTAATTAAGTTTAGTGAAATGTGAAATAGAACAAAATGGAAGATGGTCGCGCAATTTTGTGGACTGGTTGATGTTAGACACTTTCACCATTGGATACCGGCTCAGTGGTCCAGTAAGTTAAGGCCCCGGGTTCGAATCGCACGAGCGGGATCGTAGATGTACACTGCTGAGGAGTGTCACAATGGGACGAAACGGCCGTCCAGTGCTTCCAGGTTTTCAATTGTGGTGGTCTAACATCAATCGGTTCATGATCTCAATCAAAAATCTTTTAAAGGCTATACATGTTAAATATTAAAGTTTTATTATCCTTTAACGATCTTATCAATATAATTTTCATCATTTTCTTTTCTGATAAAAAACAAGGAACAACTAATTAATATTCACTTAAAGTACACAACAGAAAGCAAAATCAATTTTTTTAAAGAAAAATTATAAACTATAGATAGATACAACATATTCTTACATTGTTCCTTTGTACTATTTAAACTTGGATTAATTTTGATTTGGTTAAATATTTATTCTCTGAAGAAGTGGCCTACATTAAGTTACGAAACGTCGAAAATATCTAGTTTTTCTACTCATTTGAAATATTACAAATATATTATCTTTATTTATAACAATCTATGCAATGCTTAATTTATTCCAAATTATCAATTCAAACCGTGGTAATAAAATTTCTCTTTAGGCAATGATGAATAGTGGCTAGCAGTGGAATCCAGGACGCGCGTCTCGTCCTATTTGGGACTCGTCAGCTGGATGTACCTGCATCTCAGACAGTTGATGTTCACTCTGGGACTCGGACCCAGTGCCAATCGCTTCAAACACCATCGCGTTATCCACTCAGCTACTGAGTCCTGATAGCCACTTGCTTGTGCGATGGGGTGAATGCAGGTGCATCCAGCTGACGAGTCCCAATTAGGATGAAACGAGCGTCCTGAATTCCACTGCTAGCCACTATCCATCATTGCATACAAAAAGCTTGTGAATTAAGGCAATATCGAGGCATACGCACAGTATGCACATACGTCAATAAAAGACTGATGAATTGCAGTCCTAAATAACAATGGGAAGCATACAAGCCAAACAATACCAAGTGAACTTAGTAATAATACTTATAATTTCATGGTGAAATTTTTAAATAATTAGTTATTAATGTAGAGAACTCATATGTGAAAAGAAGTGAGAGAGATGCAAAAAGAAAAAGAAGAAGAAAAACAATTGAAACACGTTAAAATAGGTAAATTTAACAATAGAGAATTAGAAAGCATCAAAGTAACTATCATAATTGAAACTGTTGTCTTTTTAAAGTCCTCCAATTTTTTCTGTTACTTTTTAAGTGCCGTAATATACCTCCAAAACTTCGCTTGTAGCTCCTCTGAGGCTACAGCCGGTCGTAAGCCTGGGTAAAGTAGGAGAGTTGGGCATGAGATCGGCAACCTCATCCCGTAGAAAACCACCTTGCTAAAAAGAACCCTAACCAGAATATATCTTCAAGCCAATACATATAAAATGTGATTAAAAATTGGCTTACTTTCGGTGACTATATATTAATTTGAGGATTAATGTATTATTTATTGTTATCATTACTGTTACTAATACAATATCAGTAAGGTCTTTTTTCATAGGAGAGTAAATATTCTTCGAGATTGATATTGGCCAACTATTTTGAACACCTGACCATGTTTATATTATGCTAATACTTTGTATATAAGCGTATTATTTTGTTAGAAGAAACGTAACTTATTCCTTTGCCAAGTGACTATTTGTTTTTCACTTTGGATCTTTCATGAACTTACTTCAGTAATTTGATCTTGTAAACGTTCATCACTATGACATATTGTATCATTCCTTCATTATAATGATCAAAATTTGTCAATCAAATCACAAAATCGGATTCCATAACAGTAACGATAAGTTAATGTCATTTTTCATTGGATTGTGGTGTGAGCTACTTATATTGACATAAGTAGTATATAACGTGCGTTAAAAGAACGTAATGCTCGGCAGCAAAAGATGGCGAAGACCAAGAAAGGTGGAGCAAGAACATAATGGAATTTGTAAGAAAACTTATGAACAATGGAATGGGAGACAATGGATTAGTGTTTGCAGCTTGAACAGTACAGTTTGATATGATGTATTGATAATTTGCAAATTGACGATTGACTTTATGGTATTCAGATTTTGTTGAGATAGTCTGTAATTTTCGTGCTAAATACATTCGATTGTCCCCACCCGTGTTCTTGTTCACTACAGGATAAGTACAAATAAAGGTGATTAAAATTCTTATAAATTAGTGGAAGTATGGAAATCCCATATAAATTGTTAACTCAGAATCAAACATAGGCATCAAAAAATGAATCATAGATGAAGATCTTGGTTAATGCAACAGTAAAATAGTTGCTAACAATGATACGAAGTAATCAAGTACAGACTTTGTTTATCTGTCTTTGACATTCTTCTATTTGAAGTTTGTACTGATGACATCGTTCAGAACAACAATGAAAGCCGCACGACCGAACTATCCAGCTCAGAGAACAAAACCCCATCAGAAACATTTATTATGTAAAATGACTAGTGATATCAGTCGTCACTGACCCATGAGGTTTCACTAAGTTGTATATAATAGTAATTGTAATTGATCATCATAGCCGTTTTCAATCTCAAGGTATGAAAAAAAGAATAATAATAATAGTGAAACTTCAGTGTACTTAAAGTCATGAAAGACATTTACTGAATAGAGGGAATCCTACTAGTATAAAGTTTCTCCTTCATTCTCTAGAATTATGACGAAGATATATAAGTGATAAATTTACACGAGTTATTTTTAATAATGTTAACAAATGTTTTGGGCTTGTAAAAATTCAAGGAAAAATAGAATATAAATAATCAAGGGCTTTCATTAGTTGCTAATCATGTGGTTTCGAGAAAATCGACGTTGCATGGAACATGTTTTGATGTTAGATGACTGACGGTGATGGACAGAAAACTCTGTTTGATCCAAGTTTCATGATAGAAAGTATCTGTTATCTTGTAATAAATAATGCCCTTGATTGGATTTAAATCTGTTCCAGAAAGTATAGCAGATATATTATCACTGAAAAGTTCGGTCTACGTTTTTTTATATGTATTTTAGATATACTTGTAAGTTTGCTAAGGTTGAAGCTATCACGAGTTCACTTAATCTATGAACGAGAACAAAGGCTCAGTGACCAAAGACCAGTAAGCTAGCTATTTGATGCGTCCCAGCCACGCTAACTAGAGGAAGAATTCCAAGTTTGGAATGGAGAATTATATTCTGCAAACAGTCAGAAACGAGCGATAACAACAAACAATTCAAAACGTATATATACAGTACAAAACCGTCCTTGCAGAGAGTTACCAAATAGTATACTAAAACACGCAACGGACCAATAGCATTTAAGATATTTCCCAATGGGAAATATTACCTGAAGGTGACAAGAGCGCCTTTAGCATTAAAACAAAAAAACTCAAATTTTCTAGATAAAATTACAAAATTAGGTCCTTTTCCAAGTGAGTTCTGAGGATCTAACGTCCCCAACATATTTGATGTTAAATCCAATCAGAAAAACTATTTTACTACATATGATTCTTATTACCAAGCATATTATACTTGCTGAACACTAGGAAAAAGATGTTATTTGAATAGAACTGTAGTCGAATGCAGAGATACTATATGAACACTGGGAAAAAATTGAAACATCAATGGAAAAAAAAGAATCAAAATTGACTATTGGAAATGTAAGTTAGTCAGTCAATTCGTTATTCTGTCATGAGCAACATAGAACCTGAGATATATTATATGGGTATTGGTTCATTTTAACATGCTACATTATCATTGAAACAATAAAAGAAAAGTCGTTAAGACTATGTCTCAAACTAACAGCTTACATTAATCCAGAAGAACGATTAGTACAATTGGCTGTAATCGAGAGAAAGAGAGAAACACACTTTTTAAAAACAAAAACTCAAACTATACTTCCAATCAGTGTAACTTGGTCATTTTACTGTTATGAATAGTATTATTTGATCAATTTCAAAGCAAATGTAATAACTACTATGTATATTCTACATGAATAGTTCTTATTCTCGAACAACACATTTGTAGTCATTATATTATTTCATAATGAATAAATAATGTATCATAAAATATATGAATAACATCCGGTACTAGTTGTGATTTTTAATCGATTATGTGTTAGTGACTGTGGAAAAAAAATTGTTCCCTTTTTATTGGCTTAACTACTAGATTTCATATTTGTGAAATTATCAAATATAATATATACGTGGACTCTCTGTCTTCTCATAAACTAAGAGATTAAAATCGTTTCATATCTTTCTTTCTACGAACGAATTCTTTCTTCCTGTACTATATCTTTATTGCAATCTTTCTTTTATATATTACCACCTCTGAATTATGGCTCTTCTATCGCACACGCAACAACAAATGCAGGAAAAGACGAACAGTGCAGCAGCAGCCTCAGCAACAGTCGGTCTCAATATACACAAAGGGAAAAGCAAGATTCTCAGATACAACACAGCATGCACCAATCCAATCACAAGTGACGGAGATTTGAAAGATTTAAAAACCTTTACATATTTGGGAAACCTCAGTGATGAACACGGTGGATCTGATGCTGATGTGAAGGCGCGGATCGGCAAAACAAAAGAAGCATATTTACAATCGGGGAACATCTGGAACTCAAAACAACTGTCAACCAACACCAAGGTCAGGATTTTCAATACAAATGTCAAGACAGTTCTACTGTATGGGGCGGAAACCTGGAGAACTACGAAAGCCATCATCCAGAAGATACAGGTGTTTATTAACAGTTGTCTACGCAAAATACTTCAGATCCGTTGGCCGGACACTATTAGCAACAACCTACTGTGGAAGAAAACAAACCAGATCCCAGCGGAGGAAGAAATCAGGAAGAAGCGCTGGAAGTGGATAGGACAAACATTGAGGAATGCACCCAACTGCGTCACAAGACAAGCCCACACATGGAATCCTCAAGGCCAAAGGGCTAGAGAAAGAAGAAAGAACACATTAAGCCGGGAAATGGAGATAGACATGAGAAAAATGAATAAGAATTGGATGGAACTAGGAAAGAAGGCCTAGGACACAGTAGGTTGGAGAACGCTGGTCGGCGGCCTTTGCTCCATTAGGAGTAACAGGCGTAAGTAAAGTAAGTAGGTAACCTCTAAATTAACTACTTTTATGAATCTGGTTTTCATCTTGTTGTTGTGCTAATGAGGTATGGCAACTTGAACCGATGCATATATGTGCCTGGTCCTACGTTGTAGCTGACTGACTGACTGATTGAACAAAATGGAAAAAATAAACCACAATAAATTATGCATAAATGTTATGCTCTTTTTGTTGAAAAAAAAAACAACAAACAAACAATGATCATATATTATTGATCGGGAAGTCAATTGACGACAGGCTTTAAATTACCAAGGTCATAAAGATGAGCATTTAAGTTAATCATTGATTGGTCATTTATTTAGTTATGGGTAAAATTAACAGCATTTTATTTGTTTGTATTGTTTTACAATTGAATGTCTTTCATTTATATAATCATGTTGAAAAAAAGTTGTAGTGAGACTATAATTTATGGAGGATTTTTGAACAATGCTAAATAGACCTTGAGAATGTCCACCTATTAACTAGGATTGAATGAAGGTGATAAACCAGTTTGAAGAATAACGTTTATGATTTACAGTTGATGGTTAGAGATTATGCATTAGACTTATGGTTTTCATCATGAACTGACGACATCAGTTAAAATGCCAAAACTCTATTTCGACAAATAGATAAATGAATTTTGCGTTAAAATCCAAAATTTGTCATCTTAAATTTGATTGATTCGTTAAAAAGTTATAGATTTTCATGAAGTTTTGTTCTCTGAGCTGGATGGTTTGGTCGTGAAGCTTTCATTGTTCTTTTGAACGACATCATCAGCACAAGAAATAAGCCGAACTAAAACACTTCACTTCTATCTGAAGTTTGTGCTGATGATGTCGTTCAGAGGAACGATGAAAGCTCCACGACCAAACCATCCAGATCAGAGAACAAAACTCCATCAAAATCACCCACCTGAGCTACAAATCTTCTCCACCATTTCATAAATTATAGTCTCGCCAAAGTTGTTTTATTGAAAGGAATTGAGATTGAGACACAATTAGTATACTCCCATTAGTCTCTATCACACAACCACACATATCTTATCTTATTTTTTTAGTATTGAAAAATAAACTTAATAAACATGATTAAATTAACAAAAAGTACGATCAATTAATTTTTATTTAGGCTTAAAAAGAACATCAACAATAAGTAATGCAGGTACATCCAGCTGACGAGTCCCAAATAGGACGAAAGGAGCGTCCCGAATTCCATTGTTAGCCACTATCCATCCTTGCTTATAATGCTTGTAAATTAAGGCAATATCGAGGCATACGCACAGTATGCATATATGCCAATAAAAGACTGATCAATTGCAGTCCTAAACATCAATCGGAAAATCCAAACAACCAATACAAAAATGAATTAAAACTTAACTCCATTGCACAAGCTAGTGACTATCAGGACTCAGTAGCTAAGTGAATAATGTGATGGTATTTGGAGTGAACGGTACTGCGTTCGGGTCTCAGAGTGAAAATCAACTCTGAGATGCAGGTACATCCGGCTGACGAGTCCCGAGTTGACGGAACACACGTCCTGGATCGCACTGCTAGCCATCATCCATCTCTACTTATGATTCAAATGAACGCTTTTAACACTTAACATTGACTAAATTCTAATCATTAGTGAAAGAAGAAAAAGTTACACAATCTGAAATTTTTTTAACAATAATGTTCACGTTTATAAGGTCAACTTATAATTCAATAAATTCCAGTAATTTAGCTTCCATTTAAAACACAAGTGTAGATTCATTATTACGCATTATATGAAACTAAATGTTGGTTATCAGCTGAATTCAGAACCAGTATTTCTTCCTTTTTGGGACCCGTCAGATGGATGTATCGCTGCTACCTGTAAACACTAATCCAACTTTCTCAACAACTAGTGACTAATATGTCTATGTATATATATATATATATATATATATATATATATATATATATATATATATATATATATATATATATATATATATATATATATATATATATATACCCAAAGGAGACTGGTTGATTGCAATCATTAACACTGGCAATAGAAA